CGCTGCCGTCCCCGCCGGCCTCAGCTGCCCCCACAGGCAGAGCTCCCCGCGCCCGCGTCCCCGTCCCCGCTCCCGCAGTCGGGGCCGGACCATGGCAGCGAGTTTGCAGGCATGGAAACCCTGCTCCAGATAGTGAAATCACAGTCCCGGGAGAGGCGCCCGGACTTACCCCGCTTTCTATTTGCAGAAGCAGAGCACTACATTTCTAAGCTGTTCGTCGTTTCTCTGCCTAACCTGAGCATATCTCAGGGGAACTAAGGGCACAGGCAGGTTTTTTTTCTCTCCCGAATTGTGTATTTTAATTATTGCTCTCTCTAATGCATGTTTGTTTAGCTAGATCAATGGCATCCAGTGATTAAATGCCTGCTCTAAAGACAGTATTTTGACTCTAGGAGAGCCTTCAGCTTGTGGTTTCCCTTCTGGCAGGAAAAAAAAAAAAAGACCGGAGTCATCCAAAAGGAATAAAGGCGAGTCCGAGCACAGACATGCTGCCGTTCACCCTGGCTCCCAGACTAACTCATCAAAATGTGCCGGTTGTCTCACCTTTGGTCTTTGCCAAAGCTCCTGGACTGAATTAAACAGTCATGGGAGAAGCTGCTGATGTCTCTGTGGACATCCCAGCTGCAACACAAGTGGATGAAGGCTGATGTTGCGCTGTTCGCTCACCTGGACCGTGAGCCCCTCCGAGGGGAACACTGCCAGCCCCCTCCGCTCCCTGACTTCTCCCTGCCGCGACAGCCGGCTGTTGGACGGAGACGCGATTCCCACGTGGTGCGTGCAGCCGAGTCGGTACACAGAGAAATAAAATGTGTGAGAGCTGCCGGGTGTCATGCCGCCTGGGGGAGGAGTCCCTGGCCCTTGGTCGTACTGCAGGAGTCCCCTGATGACCACCTCCGGATGACTCCGGAGTCCCCTGCAGTGGTTTCTCTGCAGGAACGAGATGATCCCAAATCCTACGTGTTACCCGCTCCCCTCTCCGCATGTTATTGTTTCATGTAAGGAGAACCAGACCTGAAGAGGGGAGCGACGTAGTTGCTGGGGAAGATCCCCACTCTCCCCGTGACGAGGGACATGCCCCGCAGCCAGCCGTCGTGGTCTTTCCCAAAGACGCGGACCCCTTCTCCCTTCTGCAGCTCCAGCTCCTCCGGTCCGTGAGCCACGTAGGAATGGAGAGCCACGCACCTGGGGAGAGAGGGGGTGAGGGGCAGGGAGGGCAGTGACTGCCCTGGCGCAGGAGCGCGTCCTGAACCTCCCGGGTTTAACTGTGCTGAAGAACTGACGCTGCTGGCTTTGGGTGAGCGGCGGCTCGTTGCCTGAAGCCTCATCAACCCGCACTCGCATCAAGTATTTGGGTGCTGCTGTTATTGTGGAGAGAACTGTGCAGGGAAGAAACTGCCTGTAACTTCAGGCTAAAGGGGATATGAATAAAAGAAGAGCCAACGGGAGTGGAGAACAAAGCAGATCTCATCGATGGTTTCTGTCCCAGAAGCGCCAGCCAAGCCAGCCGAGGGCGACAAGCGCTGGGGAGGAGAAAGCTGCTGTTGTGCACCTCACCGTGAGCGCCCCGTTGAAATAACTGATGAAGGGCTGATGCGTACCTGTCCTAAGGCAAAGCAGCATGAAAGAGTGCAGGCACGATGCTCTGTCCGAGCGATAGCATCAAGAATACATTCCGCCTTTGAACTACGCGGTGAGCCAGAGGCCTTGCATCTGCTTGTCCTGAGCATCATCTGGAGGGGTTCAGAGGCGAGCGGAGCACTGCTGGTACAGCAACGTGCACGTTCACCCATCTTCCTCCCTCTCCTCCTCCTCCTGCGACAGGGCCCCTGCAGACACTAACACTGGGACTGCAGTCGCTGCCTCTGGGGCCCTTTGAGAATAAAGTGGACAGAGGAGGAGGTACATGGCTCTGCTCTGGGCTCGCCAGGAAACTGGACTAAAAATTAATTTGAGATCCCCTCTAGACCTTTCTGGTGTGATTCTGGGACTACAATGAGGTGATGAAGCTTTGTTCTCCACACTGAACCATGTGTGACCACACAGCACAACAGGAGCAAAAGAAAAGTGTAGTTTTCAAAACTGTCCCCTATTTGCTCTTTAAAGAACTTTAGTTTGTCTCCAGTGTAACACACTTAATTTAATTGCATTGTTGTTGTTTTTTTAAGGGGCGTGTGATCTGCTCCCAAATATTACTGAGTTACAGACCAATACAGCAATTATCAGATATTATTTAAAAACTAGAAACAGCAGACTAGTTGTCTAGATAGTCAAGGCCTCTCCCATAACTTTAAAAAACATTTCTCTCTCACTGCTGTTTGGAACAATCACTGGAAATTTTGACTTGAAATGCTCATCTTTATAAAGTGACTTTTCCTTCTGTTAGTTGCACAGACCAGGCGACGGGTCAGTGAAAGGGTGTTCCAATTCTGCAGTGGTTTATCGCTTTATACAGGATCCACCTTGAAGGGCAGGACAGGCAGATACTGGTTTGATGTTTTGTAGGGTTGAAAAAGGAGCTGTGCAAACAAGGCAGCTGATCGAACGCTTTAGCACAATCCTCATCCTGCAGATTATTTTAAGGTTTTAGGAGTTTTCTTGTGCTTAGGATTAAGTATGTGCAATAGTTTTGGATGACCTATGCTAATGCACGGAAGCAGCAAACATCGCCAGCGGAGTACAGTTTTACAGATGTTGCTCATGTGTACTAGTGTTCCGCAGGTCTGGCTCCATGCTGTGGGGGTGCTAATTACCGTGTAGACAGCTTGTTGCTATTTTGTTGTTATTAGGCAGCTTACTACAGTGCCAGGCTGATGAATCTTATCGAGAGGAAAACGAATCATTACAATACATTATCTGCAGATTTTAACTCTGGGAAAGTTTTGAAAGATTGGATCACTCAAAACACCAGTGACCTTCACTGTTTTAAAATAAATATCTAGAGGCACTAAAGGATTAATTAGTTTCTTTATATTTAAAAAATGTAAAATATACTGTTGACAAAGAAGCAGAACTATAGATCTATAAATACTGAAGTATGGTAGTAAGGTGCAAGGAGGGTTCTCCTGCTAGGAATATAATGATTCCATTGTGATACTAAGCCTCTGCGACGCCCTGCTTAGACCAGCCACGTACATCCCTGTGGGGATCCGAGCGCACGGGAGCTGCGCTCTGGTCTGCCTTTACCTCCCGCCTCGCAAGAACCTTTGGCTGGATAAGCCTCAGCTGAAGGGACAGAAAATTACACGACCCCCCGACGTATTCCTGTTTCCTTACGTACATATAAGCTGATATGTGGTGCTGCAGATGGGGAAGAGTAACGATGGCTGCTGAGTGCCCCAGTGATCCCGGTGCAGGGTAGTAAGATGCACTGACCTACAGGGAGAAAGAAAGCAAAGAAAACAATATATTAATCTGAGTATAGGCTTATTTTAGCCACTGGAAGAGCAGCTAAAAACATTAACAGCCTTTGACCACCCTTCAAAAAAAAAACAAACCCCAAACCAAACCAAAGACATTTCAGGAGAAATAAGTTTGGAGCATTTTACAAAAAAAAGACCAGGCAGTAAGAAGAAGACTCACTTCAACACCGAGAGGCTCTCTAGGGTATGGCTCGGCTGGACTGATGGTGCTTATCCCCTCCTGTAAATACAGAACTTGTTGGGACAGCTAACCTGCCGTGTGAGGAGGCGCTCAGAGCAACGATGAAACAGGGTAAACTTAACCGAACAGCCGTGACTTCCAAGTTTGAGCCCTAAACCTGTATCTCATATATCTGAGATCCACTCAAGTGGGGAAACGCTCCTTTGCCTCTCTCCTTGCGTTCAGTGTTTTCTCACCCCTTTTCGCTTGGCCCTGAACAAGGTGAGCACCTTTAATTCACTCACCGTCTCCGGTCACTGCGTCAGGAAGGAAAAGGGGTTTGGGAAAGCAGCATTTCAAGCCCAGACTTTGCTAACCAGGAGGAGACCGTCGCGTCTGCCAGGTCAGGACTGGTGTAATCATTGCTGTTTCCCTTGTTATTTATTTAGCTCTGGCTGGGAGTATTGGTATTGTCTAAACCCTAAATAATACAGTCCTTGCCCCAGTGATCTTTTAATAACTATTATTAAAGCCATTTACCACGTCTGTGGCGTCCCGAGGAGCTCCACAGCCCCGTGCGGACGCCCGGTGCCGGCGGTGCCGGGTAGGGGGTAGCTGACTGCCGCACCAGCAGCGCAGGCAGAGGCACCTCGCTTGGGTTTGCCTTTGGTTTGGGGTGGCTCTTTCCCCACCGTCGCTTTGCATCGACAGAGAGATAGCAGCCACCATAATGCCCCCCCGTCCTCTCCTAGGGGTCTTTCGTGTTCCAGGGAGGACCCTCAGCCCCGCTCTGCTGTCAGGGTAACTGCCCTGGACACGCCGCGCCGGACCTGCTGCTGCGGGGGCGAGTGCCCGTCCCTGCTGCCGCCCGCCGAAGGCGAGGGGATGACTCCTTGGGTCTCCTTGCTGACCTGGTGAGGACGCGGGCGGCATGCTGGGCTGTTCCCTTTCCTCTGTCCCTCAATGTCTCACAGGTGGAGTGACATCCACCCACTGAGGTTTCTGAGGTGGGGGCCCTCTCTCCGGTGTCCTGCTGAGTCTCTGGCTGCTCCCCCCCAGCGCCAGAACCTGCCTGCCAGCTGTTTCTGTTCTGCCGAGTTTGGTTTTGGTTACGTGTCGGTGCTCGCTGGGCTCAGGCACGGTCCCACCACGGGCAGCTGTCCCCCCTCGCGTGGCACTGATCCCTGCAGAGGCTTCAGCTCCACGAGGGGGCTGAGAGGAGATGGAGCTGTTGCTGAAAGGGTGAAGGCCATCCAGTAGAAAGAATAGAAGAAGTTCCTACAAATGCCAGCTTCTCAAATAAGAGCAGTCCTGCTTGCATGCCCTGCAGATGGAGGAGTAAATAGGATAACCTCCCTGAGGCTGACAAACTCTGCACCTCCACCTCCAGCGTGCTCTGTGGGCTGGAGGGAGTTCCAGATGCCACGAACAAGGCGTGGAGACGTTTCACTTGGTTGCCGGTCCACAGTGGGTTAGCATTTCATGGCTGGCTGATTGAATGAGCACTAAGAAATCAGTACTAGAACTATTAGATATGGGAAATGTTAATCCTTTTCCAAAACCATCTGATGAACATGCAGCTAAACCCCCTAAAGTATATTGGCCTACTATACAAGGTACGCTAAGAAACGCTACTGAAGTGCTTGGTGGAGGCAGAGGTCTAAGCGCTGCCTCCACGCTTTTCCCCTCCACTGGGGCCACGTCTCCTGGACCACATATTGGTGTCTTCCCCCTCGGTCAGGAGACGGGCAGTGCGGGAGGGTTATCTAATCAGGGAATTCCTGCCGTGCCAGCAAAGGAAGGCACTGCGCTGGATCCCGCTGGGAGCTCCATGACAGCACGCTTTAAGGGAAATATTTTCGGTGCTGGTTGCAAAGCCATCTTTCAAATGGCAAAAGCAAAACAATTTAAGCTGAACATCTTGACCAGTCCTAGCTGGCCGCCTGGTTTACATGCCCAGCGGTGAGGCAGAGGATTAGCTGGAACAAGGACAACAGCATCTCTCTTCTCCAGAGGTGGTCCCTCCCGGTGGGGGCTGGAGCCACAGCAGTAATACCCTGTGCTGCCGTGCTGCCTTGCTTTGGAGGCTCTCCAAGAAGCATTAGGAGATTAGCGCGGTCTCTCCAGCCCCGCGGAGGCAGGGAGGGTTTGTTATCTCCGCTTCACAGGCAGGAGAGCTGAGCTCTGTGGCAGGGATGGAGGCCACCCCTGGCACCGCCGGCTCGGGCGCCGGGTCGGTGTCCTCGGCGGTATCCATCTGCCACCTCACACTGGCAGTGTTTGTTTCTGAAAATGGTGAGAACAGGCCGTGTGGCCGAGCCCGGCTCAGGAAGGTCCCAGTTACCAAACCCACTGGTCTGTGCCCACCGCGCACACTCCTCCTCCTCTGTTTGGTTTCCACCCTGCACTTTGCTTTTCCGGTTGTCCCTGTGCTGGCAAACGGCGGGGCCGGGAGGTGTCGGGGGGCGCGCTCAGCACTGCGCAGGCTGGGCCCGTGGCGTTGGAGGAGAGGATGGCAGCGTTCAGTGCGGCATCCTCGGGAGGCTCTCTTCTGCTGATCTAGCCCTGCTAAAGCACAAAAACGTATCCCGGGGGGAACTGCTGTGAGCAAGTGGGTCACCCCCGTTTGACACCCAGCACTGGGTGCGCTGTGGCGGGAGCTGCGTTGTGCGGCTGCGGGAACGCGGCTGCTCTCGGGAGGTGGAAACAGCTCCCAGCGAGGCACGGCGGCTGCAGACGCGTCCCTGCGGAACCTCAGCCAGCGGGAAGTCACTGGGCCGGGATGCGGCCAGCAGTCATGCTCTCCGGCGAAGACCACAGGATCTTTAATGATGCAAGTTGTCAGGGCTTTAATCTCATATTCATTTCAAATCTAATTTCTAGTGGTCATGGCTGTAACGCGGTGCTGGGGCACTGGCTTAGCAAGGACCGAGGGAAAAAAAGAAGTGACTCACCAGCTCTGTTGCTCTCCAGTAAATCAGGTTAATTAAAAAACCCAGCAAGTGTAGCTGCTGCCTCTGGACCCGAAGAGGCAGGTAAGTTTCAAACCGTCTTTGCGTTCCTCGTTTTCTAGTCCAGGTAGGGTCAGACCAGGCTCTCATATAAAATTGATTTGAAATGATAATTCTGTTTTAATAATTTCAATAATCAAAAGCTTTGAAATTTGGGGATTTGGAATTTCTTTTTCCTGCATTGGAGCAAAATGACAACCTTTTGCTGGTTTTCCTGATGGACCCGTGTTGAAATGTCTGTTTCTGGATGGAAAGCTTCATGTTTTTCATCTCTCCCTGTTCCCCCTCTGCATGGATCCTTTCAGAGCCTGCATCAAAGCGGTTTTGTATTTTCAACAGAGAGGAAAAAAGATTGAATTAAATATTTTCCAGCCATGTATAATTGATTTCAGCATTCACTTTTGCTGATCTCCAGTGAGTACCTTGCAAGCCCTTATAAGTACAAAGAGTTTCATTTCCTGCCTCTCCTTAAATCCCTCTCTTACTCCATCTCCCTATTCAGTGTGTCGCCAATGTGATTTCTGGCTTGGCTCCTTTCTGCAGCGCGCTGCCGACACGGGCACTGCTCTGTCGAGAGCGTTCATGAGACGCCTCATGGGGAGGGAGTTTTTCCCCATTCCATCACGGGGCAGTCAACACTGCTGGAAATTGGGTCCTGCAAGTTTTTCCCATCATTCATCACATAGAAAAGCCAAATGTACTTGACGGCTGATGTCAGATTTATCAGCTCACTTGGACGAGCGGCAAAGGGTAGCAGCAGCTCTTAGCCAGATGTTTGCTGACCCGCGTACTGCCAGACCAGGGGAGTAAGTCCAGTTGTGACTGGGAAGAGGTTCCCGCTGCTGATGATGCTTTCTGCTGGGAGCGGAGAGAGCGGACACAGTGCCACAACGCCGTGCTGCAGCCGCTTGCACAACAGGCACATGCAGAGACACGGTGCGCCACAAGCTCTGCAAACTGGTTCTGGCTCCCGCCTGAGCCCGCTTGGCACCACGACGGGGAAGGAAGAGCAGGAGGAGGGCGGGCGGCAGTGCCAGCCGCTGCCGGTTATTCCCTTTTATGGGCTGAAATGAGTCCGACCCGATCCTTGGTGGTGGAAATGCCAGGCGGGCAGAGCGTGCTTGGGAAGCCCTGCGAACGCCCAGCACAGCCTCTCCACCGTCGCTTCTTAAGCCGTGCTTTGTTCTGCGTGTACCCGAGGCACAGCCCCTCCGGCTCCCTCTCCCCCCACCAAGCACCAGCATCACTGGAGATGTGACTCTGCTGAGGACGTCATGCACAGGGTGCGTCAGGAGGATAGTAATGCTCCTCTTTGTCTCCCTCAAATATATGTAGTCTCATGGCTCAGGACAAGTGTCGTGGAACTACAACCTACTGGAGAATTCCCACTTTTTTTGACCCCCATCCCAAGGAAAGCAAGGAACACATCCATTCAAAACACAGGGCTTTTTTTGTTTTTTTTTTAAATTACTAGATCTAAATGTATATTCAGTATCTGTCTGGATGCCTGTCCTTGCAGAGGAGAGGGATTTCAGGGCTGGATAATGACTTGGTCACTTGGTTTCCAGTGTGACTGCTCAGGTTGCTCTGCTGCCCCATCCCCGCGTGACGGCTGATGCCAGGACCCCCCTCCTGTGATCCTAACCCTCGCTTGTGTCAAACCCGGTTGGAGGAGCAGCACAGCAGCACAGCTCCTTTCCTTCCAGACGGTCTCACGGGGCCTTACGTCCCTGTCTCAGGCAGGGAATGAAACTGGGTCACTTTCTGAAAGGAGAAAAGCAGCTCCGAGCACTCCGTGGAGAGCACACTCACGGCGAGCGAGTGCCTGCCCAGCGTGAGCGGGGGACCGGGGTGCTGCCGGTGGGGCAGTCCCTTTCCTGGAGGAAGAAGAGCTCCGGTGTTTGGGCACAGAGGCCGGGGGCCGTGCTCTCGGACTTCTCTGGGCTCCGCACGGAGCCCCGTGTGGGGAGGTGGACTTTCCCTGGCTCCCAGGGAGGGCGGATGCTGCAGTGCGCATTCCTCCTGCCAGTGATTCACCCGCTAACCCCGCGCAGACTCCGTGGCTTTGCTCGCCGCTCCCCATCTTAGACAGATGCCTGCTCCCCCCTGTGCCAGCCCGCTGCTCGGCGGAGGAGGGCATCGGCGCTGGCCTGGGCAGGGGGCACTGTCGCCCCCTCACCTCCCCAGCCTACCCCCCGTGCCTCACCCCGGCCTGCCAGCTAAGGTTATCCAGCCCTGGGCTTTGTCTCCCGGGACAATTCCCACTTAACCGGTTACATGCTCGCCTACTTCATTCTCACAAACTGTTCAGTCTTGCCCACCAGTTTGGTCTTGGTCTCACTGGTCTCAGAAACTCCTCCCGAGAGGCTGTGCTGTTTGGGGCTGGCTCCCGGGCGGTTCAAGCGCTGCCATCGCTGCTCCTTACCCAGCGCAGCCGCACGCCAGCGCGGCTCCCCGGCACCCGGGCGGACCTGGGGCAGGACCTCTGCCCGGCGTTGGGAAGGCTGAGCTCAGCTGCAGACTCAGCTCCATCTGCTGCACCGTATTCGTGACCACCCACCACGATCCCGGCTGCACAACCTCTGCAGGCTTACGAGGGAGCACAAAAACGCACGGAAGCAGTTAAGGATGTGATTCAACCCACTCTTTTCTTTACTATATTGCTAACAACAGAAGACCCCAGCTTGTACTCCGGGGCTGAGTTTGCAGCGCTGGCAGTAGGCACGCAACTGTTCATTACTTCCGAACTTCTACTTTACCTGGAGTAGTTTAAATCAAGAAACACAGATCTTTTCCTTCCAAGTAATGTCATGGATATAAAATCAATTGCCGTGGAACAACCGCACTTCAGAGATGCGCTGTTTTCTTTCCAAAGTCTCAGCACTTACTCCCGAAGCTGGACTTCCACCAGAAGCTGCGGAGCGGGGCAGACCGACCCCTGGGGTCAGCCCCAGCTCGCGGCTCTCCCATTACTCCTCAGTCCTGCAACTTTGTTCTGATCATGAGGGTTGCCTTATCAACAAATTCACCCTGCAGCTTTTCCATCGCATTAACACTAGGAAAAAGGCTGAGTGACCTCAGTGGGGTATGGCCAACGTGGTCCGGCCCGACAGTGCATACCTGGGCTTGCAAAAGAATCTGGACTTTGCAGGTTTTTTGCAACCCAAACCCAGAGATGGAAAAAGGAAGAGCCTCCACCTGTGTGGCCCCGCGAACAACACAGAGCCTCCTGCAAACCTCCGGGAGCAAACCTGTTGCTTAGAAGAAAGGAAATTCCAACCCTTCCCAGGCAACGCGTTAACACATCCACTCTGTCACTTCTGCTGTTGACAATAGTTCACACTGAGACATTTTGGGTAAAATTATATTGGGTTCGCAAGACGTGATACCATTTCAATTGAATTATAGTTCTATTGTAAGGCTTCATTTCCTCTCACATAAAACAGGATCTAACATCCAAGGCTCTTTCCAGGCTATTGCTGAGCACAAAATACCTGCTGGGTTTTATTGCACAGACACCGAACTACCAGGGGCTGGCTGATTGCTTTATAAAACGTCAGAGCAGCCTTGAATATGAAAGATGTCATAGAAATCTAAACAAAACCTTTTTTCTCCCACTTCAGATGATCTGTGAAGATTCTGTATTGAGATCTTTAGTCAGAGTGCAAAGAAGGAATGAGATTCTTTTGCCTCCTGAAATAAAGAGCGCATATAGTCTGAAAGGTCAGTCTGTGTTTATTATCTCAGCCCCAAATTCAGCTTCTCTCAGCACAGTCCCGGTTTAGATTGCAGACCGACAAGGACTCCTGTAATTGCCCTCCCCTGGCAGAAGCCTTTCATCTGGCTGTGGACGGATGGGGGCAGAGGACTGATTCACGGCAGGGCAAAGACCCCGATTGCGTTTCAGAAGGGCTGACAGCCTGCTTAGCAGAGGCAGGAGGCTGCTTCGTTATTTCTGTAGCTGTTATAACACCACTGAAGCGGCGTTTTGGGAGGAAGCCTGTCCTGTAGGCAGTTTGCCTTTGGAGAAAACTTGGTGGATCAGGGTACGGTAATGGAGCTCCGGCTTCCATGGTACCTGTGTGTGCCCTGGCGGGCAGAGCAAAGGTTCTGCTTAGAGGTACCCAAACGGGTGATCTGTGCTGAGATTTTGGGCTTAATCGAGGTTTTCAAGTAAGCCCAATGCTTATCATTGAGGCTGAGCATTGGGGATGCTGGGGACTCCTTGAATGCTTGAGACACCAGAAAAATTGCAACACCAATTAATAAAAAGAGCAGGTTTCTACTTTCCTTTAATCATGGGGGTTAGATGAAGAGGCCGTTAAAGCAATGACTGCAGTCCAGACCTGCTCAGTGCAGTGCAGCTTCCTCACTGGCTCACTGGGCTTTTATTTGCTCATAATTCAGGGCCTGATTCGGCAGGTCCTGCCGTGCCGCTGCAGCTTAATTCTGTGAGACGAGCTCAGAAAGGCTCATCGTCAAAGTAACGCAGGTGAGCATGACCAATGGCTGGTTTTAGCGTTAATTTTGCAAATGTTGAGAACTGTCTGTTTTTGATCTACGTCGTTACACTGCAAACCAGATGTTTGCTTGCAGTGTGAATTCAGGCGCACGCACACACACACGCATGGCTGTGAATGAGCTGAGGCTCAGGGAGCTCCCTTGGGAATTCACGTGCCTTACTACTTTCTAAAATGAAAAATATTTTGGTTTGCAAGTTAAGCTCTCTGTTTTCTCCCACTCTGCGCCTGGAGCTCACTTGCAGCAGGGCAGAAATCAGGATGGGAATGTGCTTTATCCACGTTTAGTTACTCTGATAACTTAATTTCTCTTTTTATGAATTCCCTTGGGTCCCTGAACTCTGAAGACAGCCCTTTCCAATTCAAAAGGAGGGGAAAAACTCCCGGGCAGCCTGGTGTGGATGACATCTTACTGACGCTATTAGCATGGCTGCTTTGTCTGTGCACGTTTGTGCTTTAGCTTTTCCAATTGCTGCCCGTGCATTGAGTGTTTCTGCCCAGGACGTGCATTTTAGACTCATACTGCTCCTACAGCATCCACGCCGCCGCTTCCTTACCTGGAGAGGGGTGCCGTAGGGAAACTCCGCTTTCTCGCTGCTCTGGGTGGCCACGGTGGGGTTGCTGGAGCTGATGAGGACGGGGGAGCTGATCTCCAGCGCCTGCCGCTCGGCGGGCGCATGGACCATCCGGTTGAGGGTGTTCAGGGCGGTGGTGATGGAGAACTGCCGCAGGCTCTTCCGCCTGGAGTCGGGCACCTTGGGGAAAGGCGGCGAATCCGCGCCCTTTGCTTTGGGAGACACCGCTCGTAGGGACGTGCACTTGAACTGAGGGGACCAGTGGCTTTTGCTGGTCTGCAGGAGTTGCCTCGCAGTGGTGTTTGGCTGGAAGAGACAAAGGAAGACGTGATGGCACGTTTCAGAAGTTATGCCCGGCACAGCCCAGTTCTCCCTTTTTCCTCTCTTTTCCTGTCTGTCAGCAGAGCTGCGGGCAGATCTCGGATGACATTACAGGTGATCTTTAAAAACTTGTGGCTCAGTCATTCCCCTGATACATTTTCAGTGACAAATCCCGGATGCAAAATTACTGATGCAAAGCTGACAGCAAAATTGACATTGGTTTGAAAAACTTATTGGTTAGACAACACGTTACTGAGGCTGAGTGCTTCCCTCAAAGCTTTACCAAAAGCTTCGTTTCTTGTCAAAGCCTTTGGCTTGCAGAGGTGTGAGGAGAGCCGGCTGACTCTCTAGCAACGTTATAATAAATTTAAGTCTAAATCAGAAGGGATGTTTGGGCACCTCTCCCTTTCCCGCTTCGTGCTGGCACGCTTGGGTGCGCCTCGCAGCAGGACGTCGAAGCTCTGCACCCGAATTTAAGGCATGAGCTTGGAGAAGCCCTCATGGAGGGTGGCTCTCCCAGCAGAATTAGATCCACCCAGTTACCTCTCTGAAGGCCAAAACATTCATGGCTTGATCCTGCTTCCACTGAAAAAGCCTGGCTCGTCAGCCATTGAGTTTAATGAGGGAAGAGTCAGGCCCTGAGTTTGCATATGGGCAGTGTTCAAACAGTATTTCTTGGAAACTGCTGATCACACAGTATTAATAGCAAAGGGCATGTGGTGACAGTGTTTTTTACCACGATGACTGCCAGAGGAATTAATCATGATTTACTGCTGACATTAACGAATTGCAAAACTTTGAGATTCTCACCCACTCGTGTGAGGCAATGTGCGCGGCTCCTGGGATGAACAAGGATGACTCTAACGCAGGAGAGGTGCAGGTGTCTCTCAAGCATTATCACTTTAAAGCAGGGATTGTTTTCACATTTCCCTCCTCCTCACTCCTTAAAGCAAGGTTTAAGAACAATAGTGTGTGCATATGTACACATATAAGACGGCAATACTGTCATTTCTGTGTGTAATTAAACTTTCGCCTAAACAGGAAACATTTTCCTGCCCTCTCTAAACACTGGGGGATGCGATAAAATGGGGCACAAACCTAAGCATCAAAGCCACGAAAAGCCTTGCATCTCCCAAAACAGACCTACCTTTGCCTTCTCCATAATTAATTTCTAATTCCTCGGTGGCTTTATGTAGCCCTAACTTATTTCTGTTAACGCCAGACTTAAATAAGTAATTACTGAAGCTAAAATGATTTCATTAAATGAAAAGACATTTTACAAAATATATTAGAGCTTCAAATAAGATGTTTTACTAGTGTCCTTTTATAAAATAGCCACAAAGAGGTGCTTGCTGTAATTATGATGATTACAAGTATTAATTTTATTTCTAGGAATTCTTGTTGGTGCCATTTACACCCTACATCTCAAGCTAAACTGCAGAAATACAATTAATGTCTAGACCAGTGCTAACACAATACCATGCCGGAGCGGGCGGCTTAAAGGGCCGCGGAGCCGGAGCGCCGGGAGCGCTGCCTGCGACGCGCTGAGCTGGCGTGGGGACGGCTGGGGCCACCGTGACCACCCCCCCTGCAGCCCCAGGAAAGCAGCTGGGGGGCTCAGGGGGCACCAAACGGAGCTACACGAGAGCCGCTTACAACCGAACCCCTTAAAAATGCAATTTTGATATTTTCCCTGAATTTGGCAATTTTGCCCCCATTTTTTTTTCCGTGCTGCGGAGGCTTCATTGCAGCGAGGGAGAGGAAAGGGCTCACTCTCTGCAGGGCTGAGAGGCAGCCGTGAGCCGTGCCGGGAGGAGGGCTCTGCCCCCGGGTGCCGCTGCCCGGCATGGCCGTGGGTGGGCACGGCGGAGAACGGGCTGTCACCCCCCTCCACACACACGGTGGGGAAGGTCTCTGCTTTGTCACCTCCCGTGCCCTCGGTTCTCATCAGCTCTGCCGAGGACAGCGATGCTGTCGCCCCGAAGGGCAGGAGCAGCGTCACCAGCCCTCTGTGGCGGGAGAGACGGGTGCAGGGGTGCAGAGAGCAGACTCCTCTACAGCCGCGGTGGTGCAGCCCCGTCCAGTCCTCCGGGACGGCTTCTGCGACATCAGTGTTCCGAAACACCAGCTTGTCTGGCCTTACTCAGCACAATGCTCAAACTTGTTTTTAATTTAAAGGTGCGAGCGTGGCTGAATCGGGACCGTGGACATGAGTCTGATGGAGAGGACGTGAAAAGCCTTTGACTTGCTGGATGGGTTCCGCCACGTGGAAATGCCTCTGTCATTGCCATGCACACAACTAATAATGGAAATGGCAGTTTAGCTACGAACCAAGTCAAAAACCCCTGTGTAAGTGTTGAGGTCACTGGTGTCACACTGCCATGGAGCTCAGATCGCTATTTCAGGAGCTGAAATAGCCTGACATTGCAGGAGTATTTTAAATACTCCACAAGAAAAAAGCTCGTTTGCACTGACTGATAACTACATCTCTTTGCAAAGGCCTCCATTTCTGAGCAACCTGGCAGAATTAAATCTTGTTAACTTTTAAGATGGTTTGATTTCATTTTTTAATGATATCTGCCACATGTGTGAGGGGAAGTAAGGAGAATTTTACAGAAATAAAATTATGTTTTTCTTTCTTCTGAGCTAATGCACGAAGTTTGGGGCTAAAATTTTAATGACTCCAGGGTTGAAGGGGTCAGAGAAGGCTGTTTCCCGCTGGCCAAAACATTGACACCCGTGCAGTGTACGTGCATAAAGTTTCCATCTGAATTGGAGGAAATTTTGTATTAATCTTGCAGTAAGTGACTCTCAGCTTTCATTTGTGTGTTTGAACGTTTCCTGCTGCCTACTGCCCTGAAGAATAAGAAGAGATTGCTGTGTGGTATTGCACGTGAATCTCTGGACAAATTTCCAGGTGGGCTCATTGCCAAATGACCCTCACCTGCTCCCGAGGGAGGGAGGGCGAGGGCCGGGGGGGAGTCCCATCCAGGCCGGTGGAGGAGAGAAGGTGCTTGCGAAGGCAGCTGCAGCGTGCAGCACGCCTGCGAGAGCGGGCAGCTGCTGGGCTTTGTGTTGGATTTGTTGGTATTTTTGAGAAAAGGAGATGAAGCTGCCAGCAGCGCTTTGCTCTGAAGCCAGGCTGTGCTGGACAAATGCAACTCCTGTCTCTCCCACCCCAGGCTCTGGCATCCCCGTGTTGAGGTTCCCCTGCCTGCTCGGGCTCCTGGAGGAGCACATCATCTCTTGGCGGTGGTTTGCAGCGAGATGGCGCTCTCCAAGTGCCCCCCGCGGTGGGCCGGTCCCCCCTGCTCTGCCCAGATGGAGCAGGACACGGCACCGGCACTGCCGCGAGGTGACTGCAGAAGGGAGCGACCGAGGCGATCGCTCCAATCTTTGTCATTCCATACAGTAACAACCGACCGCCCTCACAAGGCAGGGGGACGGGAGGGTGCTCTCCCCTCTTTGCAGAAGCACGTTTGTGTTAGATGTGCGCTAACTCCTCACGTGTGAACTTTGCCGCGGGAGTGGAGATGAGCGCAGCCTCCTAACGCAAATAAACAGCATGAGTAAGCCATGAAACAAAGGCAAATAGAGTGAACGAGAAAAAACAAACGCAGATGGCAGAAAGCCGAGGAAGGCGCCTCCTGCTAATAAGTGAATCCTACTGACAAAGGGAGGATTCTGCCTGCCCAGCCTCTCTGCATCTGCACTAGCAAGCTGAAAGACCACATTTTACAGAGCTGCTGGTGATGTGCGACGCTGCTCTGAACTGAGTTTTCTCTTGTAGTTCCCCCCTTTGGTCAGAAACCACAGCTGGCTCTCGGCTGTTTGATTTCGCTTGCCCCCTGCCAGCCACCCCACATCCAGCTCTGACTGCCTGGGGACACCTGACCTGGACCACAGCCGCCTCCTCCTGCCCCCTCTTCCCACCCGGGGGAGCGGGGAGAGCATGGCATCTGTGCAGCCAGCTGGACGGAGAAATAGGTGACTTCTCTGCGAGGACACCGATGCCTCCGGGCAGTGCTTTCTGTTCTGCTCTGCCATGCCTCACCTCATTTTGACACTACAGGGACAGTTGACTTTGCTGGGAGGTGCACTTACTCAAAGAGCAAGTCCTCCCTCTCACAGAGGAAACGCAAGCTCTGGAGCCTTTGGGGAATAAAGGCAAACACAGTAAAAGTTCCGGTATTGCTCTGCAAATGCACGGCTCCCGTTGGCTGGGTGCGTTCAGTCTGCATAGACGCTGCACCCCGGACCTGGAAGCACTTGTCTTTACTATGTCAGTAGTTGTCGTTTAGAGATCGCCCTGGAGTGTTCTGGTCCTGAGAGCAGACTACCACCATCAGCCACTCCTCATCCACGACAGCAGTGTGGGCGAGAAGCTGAGCTGAGGGACTGCAGTCGCTGCTCATGGCGGGCACTTGCGTCCCTCTCCGGAGGCCCCCTGTCCTGCCCGTACCCCTGGGTGCCTGTGGGGCAATCGAGGGGGTTTAAGCGCTGGCGGCAGTGTCTGAGGGGGCTTGGGAACCTTACTGCTTTCCAAAAGGGAGCTCCTGTGGAGCTGGGGAGTAGCAGAACACCACACAGTCTAGAGAAGAAAACCGCCCGGCCGCTGGCTGCCGCGGGGTGGTGTTACCTTATGAAGCGTCAGGCAGTCCTTGTTCTCGGTCTTATCCCTGCTCCTCAGGTCAAAGCTGTAGAGTGCTCTGCCGAGGGGCGGTGGCAGGGGCAGGTGCTTGATGACTTGCACGGAGCTGGCTGGGAACACGCCGCTGATCCCGTTGACCTCCCCCAGATACCAGTTCTCATCCAGCTGTCGCAGCAGCACGATGATGTCCCCCTTATTGAACCTCAGCTCCCCGGGGTTGTGCCCTCGGTAGGTGTACAGCGCCTTGGCTCGCGGGACCTGTGGGATGAGAAACAGCCCTTGCCGTTTGTCTGTCACAGCGGTGCTTAACATAGGCAGAATTCCCCAAAAGCATTTGTAATTACTGGGAAAAATTTAGAGGTCTAAGGCTTAAGCATACATTTATTGGGATTAACTACCCACATCCTTTCTTGATGTCTTTTTCTAATGAAGACAAGCTCCAAAATACTTATGCTAAATTTGTATCAAGATGAAAAGCAGGCTGAACTTGTTTAAGAATATTAAGAAACAATTAATGCCTTAAACTAGTCTTCCCATGGGATCTTATTGCCTGCTATAAGGTCTCCTCTAATACAATGTCTATTTTTATGAACGCAGGTATTTCTGTTTTAGAATGACGGGAGGTCGCAGCCGCCGTCCAGCTGACCTGGTGGCCGTCACCTGCCGTGGCCAACTGTGCATGTCTAGAACGCAACAAGAGCAAGGTGAGTGCAGGTGACTGCTCTCCTGTGGCTATCTCCCTGCTTTAACACCGTGCGACCGGGATTTTATTTCAGTCTTTAATGTGGGTTACAGGAAGAGAGGCTTCTTAATGTTATTGTTGTTGCAGTACAGTATGAGACAGAAGAGATAGACCAAAACCAGAAGAGATGAGGGAACTTTACCACCATGACTCTTATCAAAATGAAACTACAAAGTTCACTTAAAATAACTGCTCTACTGACCCTTATCTATAGTAGAAAACTCAATTTAATACACAATCTAACAGATCATTTAGACGGCTGAATAAACCCAGAGGTGTCCCTGGCCTGGGTGCTGTGAACCCATGCAGTACAGCGTGCGGGCAGCCTGAGGGGTGTTCTTCTCGGGAGGAGCGCAGATACACTGATGTTTTCTGTGCTCTCTGTAGGTGTTCTAGATACACATCTGGGGGGTCCCGTACATCAGAAATCAGCAATACTAAAAGGCCCAATCTGTATATACTTGTGTTAAAGACAAGATGGAGATACCTTCAGCGCATTTGTTGGACTAGAGTGCTGCGTCCCACTCTACTGCATCCTAGAATGAATAAGCAACCTGTGTTTGTTTATTGCCATCTGCAACACCACAGATGTATATGAAATGCAAAACACTGAGTGTTAAGCTCTGTGCTTCTGCTGGTCCTTCAGCTGGACATGAATGCTGCTCCTTTAACTTCTGGTCAATCCTGAAGCGGTCACGCAGTTGAACCACATGATCATTGTAGGTCTCTTCCAACTGAAATATTCTATTCTATTCTATTCTATTCTATTCTATTCTATTCTATTCTATTCTATTCTGTTCCATTTCATTCTGTTCCATGTGTTTGAACGCTGTGAGAAGGTGTGCTGCCTTCACAGGACAGGTTGCCAGCAGATCCCCTGTCCCATCTTCTCTGCAGACAAGTTAGAAATAAAGTTGTAAGAACAAATATCCATGTGTGTGTTCGTGAAGCCTCAGTCACTTAAGGATTTTGTTCTAGCCCAAGCTCTTGTCAGCACGCAGCGTTTCCATCCCGTACTGGATGAGTGGTCCATCCAATCTCACATCCAACCGGAAGCTGCAACCAACACAAAGTGCTCATGTCTACTGCAACAGTGCGCCTCTGGGAGAGATTTCTTCTTTGCTTGAGGCAAACAGTGATTGTTTTTGGCGTGAAGTAAGTCAGCTGTATATGTTCTAAGCTATTAGCTGAACTGTTAGAGCTGCAGATATCGCTCTTCCCTGAGTCGCACCAGATTCTTGGCTTCACTAATATATTGCATTGTGGTTCATTTTCTTTAATCCCTTTTGACTAACTGTTCTGCTGTTTCTGTCTGTGGGAGCTTCACTGCAATTGGTAGGAATCTGGAAATAAGGACCAGATCCATTTTCTGGTTTCTGTCTGCTCTCCTAGATGTGCCACTGTCTCCTTCAAAAGATTCCTGGGACCAAGAGGGGAATCTTTGAATTTGGGACAGGAAAATAGTTTAAGGGTCCTGCCTGCCCCTCCCGTGCTTGGTAGATGAGCTAAAACACCCAACGAGCGCCTCCTGGGCACCTCCAGTGGAGGCAGCCACAGCTCCGTGCCTCTGCGGCATAGGAGTCTGTGCTCTGCCGTAGGGCTGTCTGTCCTCGCCCGCAGTGATGGCTCCTGGACACAATGCAGCCCAAAATTTTAAGGGGGGAAAAAAGCTGAGCTCCATTTTTAGCCTCCTAGCTGGTAGCACAGCTGCATGAACTACATGCCGAGAAAAGGGGAAGCCAGGATTGTCCCCAGCTCTGGAGCCTTGATCAGTTTTAAGCAGAGGTATCGGAGCCAGGGACAGCGAGGGACAAGAGGCTTTTCAGCTTCTTCTGTGACAGTCTCTGCAGATCTAGATTGTCCTTCTCCACTTTTTAGGATTTGTAACATCATGCATGGGAACTGCAGACTGGCAGAGGAGCTCCATCCACGGCTGCGTGCTTCAAACCCAGCACATCTTCAGCTCTGGTCTGCCGGCCGAGGCGCGTGGACCAGCACGGGGAGCAGAATCCCATCCCACGAGAGCTCAGCTGCGCGGGTGCGAAGGGCAGCACGCTGGTGGGGCAAAGGGATTTAGGGCTGCTGGCTCTGCATCTCCCGTGGACAAGATGTGGATTTTTTGCCCGTCGGCTGCCAAGTGCTATGGCCTTGTGAGTAGGACCTTGCCTTGCCGTTTTTCCAAGCCATAGTCACCGAACCCCTGCTGACCCCACAGGAGACAGCACTTTTGTACCAGTGACTGGTTCAGGCTTTTCCTGCCTTTTTCCATGGAGGGAGATAAACCCATTTCCCCAAATCCACCCATGTCAGTGCCCAGGGCTCAGGCAAGATTTCCGCGGAGGTCACCCCCCATCAGCCTTTTCTGGGAGGTCAGGAAGGTAGAAGAGAGAAACTCGACGTTAGTTTTCTGGAGTGTGGAAAAGATCAAATTTTCCATGGAAATTATTTAGGTTTTGGGAAGTGAAAATATTCCAGCACTCCCAAACACTGATGCTTGGTAGGAAAAAGGAACCAGAAGGGGAAAATTCTACATTCTGCATTTACTTCAAAGCATTTGAAACAGGAAGTAATTAGTATAATGTTTAGTTCTACTTAACTCATTTTGTCTGTTAATTTGTGCTAACAGTAAACCCATGCACTTGGCTTAGTGACACTGAAGGTACGTTGCTGGAAACAAAGAAAATGATCAAAGTGAGATTCAGGCCAGCTTTGCTCTCCACCAGTCCCCCCAGCTTGTGCGGGAAATAGGGAGCGTGTCAGTGCCAGGACCACAGAAACTCTCCCTGCACACGCCTGCCTGGACGGACGCACTTTCTCACGCAGAAGAACAGAGTGTGGGAATAGAGGATTACGGGAGCGCCAGTTCTCCTTCAGAAAGACTCAGTGACAGACTCTCTGGTGTCAGCCAAGGACAAGGAGCACAGAAAGAGAGACCTTTGATTGCCTCAGGAGCGACCAGAAAACAAACAAAACTCATGCAAACTGCGAAAACAGGGCTTGTAAAGCAGGAGCACAAACGTACGGGGGTGATGAGAGAATGGTTGCACAGGAAAATAAAGCAAAACATAAAAGGCATCAAGAACGAGTTATGGAAATATATTAAAAATAAGAGAAACTCTGAAATGAAATGCATGCCTATTACCAACTGGGAAAAGTGAACAAGCAATGGGTGCTGAGAGTCTGGAATATTCTTTCTTCAGCAAGAAGCAGGATGAGACAGGCGGGCAGGACAGAATGCGTAACTGAAAGCTTGGTAGGACAGGCGTGTTTGTGACGTTAGGGCTGGCTGAAACACCCCTCTGCGCTTGGGTGGATGGGCTGTTTCTTCCGGGAACCCTGGTCAGACTCTTCATTTCTTCACCTCCTCTTTAACCCTTTCGTCCCACTTCCACACTTTTCCAAATCTCACAGCCCATCTGTTTTCAAGTTTCCCTCTAAGCCTGGTTCCCTTTCCCATTGCTGTTTTCTGGAGCTGGCAGTGACCGTTGACATAATCCCACCCCTCACTTTATAGAGCAGAGCATTTGTTGAAATTTGTTGCGAAACTTTCGTGGCTCTAAGTGAATAACAGCTAATATTAATGCTTGCGTGCTTCTTCAGCATCCAAAAAATATTTTGAATTTTGGTCTTTGGGGGCTTGCTAGTCATCTTGAACGCTCACAAGGTAACATCGGTGTATTCCTTCACGGATGTTTTACCAAGGAATTATTATAATGTTGGTGGGGCTTTGAGCCATACCACTTACTCCCCACGGAAGCTCCCTGTATGCCAGGGAAGGGCTCTGCAGCTCCCCTGGCTTCAAGGCCAGGTTGGACGGGGCTTGGAGCAACCTGGGCTGGTGGGAGGTGTCCCTGCCCAGGGCAGGGGGTGGCACTGGATGGTCTTGAAGGTCCCTTCCAGCCCAAGCCATTCCGTGATTCTACATATTCAGGGTGGGGACCGGGGGAAGGTAGGAGCCTCCAGCCCGGGACAGGCTCGTGGTCAGCACGGGGCACAGGACCCCCACACCTCCCGCCTGCCCTGGGCAGGGATGAGGGAAGGACAGTGGTCCTTGTTTGTCACAAGCCTCAATTAAAACCACCTCAGAATTAAGCACTTCAAAGGGACTGGTGGTGTTACAAAGGGATGTTGGACTGGGTGTGTGTTCCTGGTTGTATAACAAGGAGAAACTAATCAGGCGGGACTGTTTCAGCACTTGATGGCTGAAGTTTTCAGAATCATATGGTCTTTGTAACTGCCAAAATATTTTTTTCTAATATTTAATACTCTGTTAACAAAGATGAGAGGTATTTTAAAAAGCCATAGCAATACAAAGAGTTTTGTTTTGGAACCAACTGAAATGACCTTGAATTTAACTTTTTCAAGATCTTCACTTCGTCAAAAAAAACCATTCAATTCCAGTAATTTTCAAAGCTCAAGGCAGTTTTTTTTTGTTCTTTTTTTTTTTCAAAAGTCTGCCTTTGGTTGTTTGGGTTTTTTTTTTAGATTTTGTTTGTCTGTTCAGATAGAAAGCCAA